AATTTTTTTCCTCAACTGAAATTTGGACAATGGGTGTTTATGAAATTTACAATTTTTGTCTGCAAAATTCTCTACCATGGCTTTAGATATACATGTGGAATAAGTGGTACTATTCTGAATATTGGGCTCTGTGGTTTCGAAGTGGATGTGAAAATAAACTTTCTATTTTTAAAACTAATATGTTTGTTGAGGCCCATTGGAAGGTATTAAAATGTGATTTTCTATATAAATTTTTTCACCCATGTTTAGATTTGGTAATATTTATAATTATAGAGAAAGTAATACCAAGTCAATAATGAAAACTTGAACAAATGTTTGTAGTTAAACGAGAATTTGCAGATTGGCGAAGAATTTTTAAAAAAGACTGGAAAAATCTTGTAAACCAACCTATCAATAATATATATGCTACTGATATTAATAAATGGATTTGTGAATGTTTTGCATTCTTGACTAGTCGATTTTTAATATGTAAACATTTAGTACAGCAAAAGGGTGAAGTAACTGCAGAATTTTTTAATCAAGTTTATCGTCATCGCCAGTATCTCTTTATTGATACTTCATCTTTATTAACTGATAATATTGAATGTATGACATTGATAAATAATATTGAGCAATCTACAACAAATTATCAAATTAATGATGATTTGCAAGCTTGTGATGAATTATATGCTCAGCTTATAGAAGTAACAGAGAAAACTCTTGAAATTCTTAAAGATCAATGAGATAAAAAGAACTTTAAATAGGCAAATACTGTTAAATGAAATTTAAATTTATTAGAACAAATGACTTCTGAAATTACTTTATTCACACAAAGAAAAACAATGCCTTGTACATTTAAAGATCACTTATACAATACATTGTTTTTTAATTAAAACTATATAATATATAAATTGTTTTTAATCTAGTTGCATATATAAAAATTTATTAAATTTATAAATTTATAAATTGCATTTCAAATTTGCTAAAAAGCTTTTTTACTTTATTGTATTAATCTGAAATATCAAAAAACTAATTTAATTAAAGTTAAATTAGTTATAGACTTTTTAAATTGCACAAAATAATGTTTTAAAAAGCTATTTTACATAAATACAATAGTTTGTAATAATATTAATTGATCGATAAATTGTACTACATAAGTCACATGGGGGTAAAAATTTTGATGGCGATACTGGGGTAGATTACGGACATATACCAAATCACGTGATTTGCACATACCAATCATTAC